TTGATCATTTCAGATGCTTGACAAGTGTGGCCTTACGCCCGATAAGATCAGTCAATGGGAGGTCAACGAACCGTTTGGACTGAATCCTCTTGCGTTCATGAAATTCTTCGACATTGGGCCCAAGAATATTAACATCAAGGGCGGTGCTGTTGCTTTTGGACATCCACTGGCGTATGTGTCATTCTCTGGCTTTCATAGTTTTCATTTCCTTTTAGAATAAATGCCTGTCATTTTCACATTCAAATGGAAACAAATATCACTTGAAGTATATGCTTGCCACGAAAATGATCACATGCGTTTTTGTTGCATCGCAACCACTTTTTCAAGTACATAATACTATCGTATGCGATTTACTTTTAGTACGAACGGTGGTCGTATTCTTAATTCACTGATTCGATCGCTGAAACCGGGCGAATTGGGTGTTGCTGCGATCTGTAATGGATGCGGTGAAGGATGTTCAATGCTGATCAGAGGGATGTAGAGGATTAACTGCTCTTTCTTACCACCACAACATTCTTCCTCTATCTTTCAAAATACTCGCAACTGATTATTTTGTCATTGTCACCAACACTTCGTTCATAACGTGATCAATTGTTATCGTTCAATAAGCATTCATAATGTCAACTGAAAGCAATCACTCATCAAGTATGGATTTATTGAATTCCAGCAGATCATGTGTCTCATCAATAATGTGTTGCACTGATGACAAATAAAGTGAACCTTTGATAATATGAACGAATTTTTGATGCGATATTCTCGTTCAGTAGATCAGTTCTTTGAGTTTCTTCTCATTTTCCGCTAACAACAACATCTACCTAATAGACTGTCAAAGGAGGGGGAATCGCTACCAGGGAGGTGGAAGATGACTCTCCGCAAGGCCAGAAGGGATCACGGAGCGTGAAACCATGAGAACCACTGCTGCTAGAGCATTGGGCTTCACTGAAAAACCCTAATGACAATATATGTTTGTTTGAAACCGTCCCAACCAACAGTGAGCGATCATGACGAACGATGCAATAGGGTACAATGAAGAGGACTGACAGCGGGACTTTCTTCCAGCTTGGAAATTAGAACTAAATTAAATGTAAATTTTGCGAAAAAGATGAAGAAACGTCGTAGCCCAATCAAAGACAGTCTGACGGTGATCAGCGTAATGAGAAGACTAAACCAGTGACAGTCGTTATAGTATTTCTGAGCTCAGTGGCCTCTTTCGGAGATTGATTCTTGGTTGGAGTCTTATTGAATCTCGCCAGCAAACATTTGATCTTATTCTTGATAAAATATTGGGTGCCCTTCGTTTCACATTTGAATTCGATTCCATATTAATGGGGATTCATATTCCATAATTTATAATAGAATTCCATGTTTGCTGGCTACGATTAATTATACAAAATATTCATGGCAACTAGTTAATTACTCGGTTGTTTTCGGCTGGCCTGCTCGCCTAGCCAACGGGGTGGCGTAAAATGAGGCTGAAACAATGTGCACGGAAACGTGAGCATTGTGGCCAGCAACGTTACAAGAGTTTGATAGCCTGGCCAATCCAGGTAATAATAGAATTCCATAGTAGAATCGAAACACTCGAGGATTCCACATTTTAATTGAAATGAACAAAATGATAATGAAGTGTTTTGTCACACGTTAATAACTGACAACAGAGAATAAATTTTTAATGAAACTAGAAATAATAAAGTATTCATGATGTGTACTGTACAAGTGGCCAGCACGACCCGTTGTTTATCTAACAAAACTAAACAATGAACAAAACGATGTAGCAAATTTTTCTCCTACCGACGGAAACAACCAGGTTAAATCTCGTTTTATTAGAAGTCTTTGAAGAAGCTGAGGCATGGCTTCTGTTGAAGCCGTTCCTCAGCTTCTTCTGAGAATTTATCGAAAACGACCAAAATAGTTTCTATGAGACTTCAACTCTTATCCGCCCTCCGAAGTCCCCGTTTCCATTGAGCTTCAACACACTCACTCGGCCCCTGCCTATATTTGATACACTGTGGTAACAATAATAACGAAAAATATTCAAACGGATCACAGATCAAACTAGGACTGTTTGGTCATTGCAATTATGGATATTTCAAGTCTTCAGAGAGTTGCGTTGGTGTAGGTAGGTGGCGTTGTTCATTTTTGGGTATTTCGATCACAGGTACACCCTTAATACCAGCAATACGTATGCCAAATAATTCATCCTGTTGAATATTATTATGAATTGGAATGGTGTCTGTATGCATCGGTGTTGCGGTATTGTTTGATTGAAGACGAATTGGCGGAAGCCGTTGTGGTGGAACGTAGCCACCTTGATAGCCATCGACTGTTACTGAAACAAATTCTTATCGAAGTGCCAGGAAATTCGATGGCCAATCAATTCTGGCTGTTATCAGCTTATATAGTTGAAGAAGCATCATAGAGTATTCCAAAAATGACTTTCACGTAGATGATTGAGTGAATAGGAATTCTCGTGATTCGATCAGTAAATACGGCTGGGAATATACTGTCACTGCCACCATAATTGCTGTCACTCTACAGTTCATGCTGATTCTCGTTCAGTGGACAGAATTCAGCCCACTGGAGATCGAGAGGAATCGTATTCGCTTTGGAAAACAAATGAATTGTGGCAATATTTTGCCTTAATAGAAGAAGAATGACTTTGGCAATTGATAACCATAATTTTTAATAATAAAATATCACACGCTATAACAAGGGGGAGGGTGAAAACATACGGTATTGTCGATCCGAATTGATTGGTGGAAGTGGCGGCCTTTTGTATGGGTCTAAATTGCTGGCCGAATTCTGGCGCATCGCCTTGAGCTGTTCACGTCGTTCGAATACTGACTTTGGACAACAGACCATCCACCTAAAATGAAATCTAGGAATCTGTTCATCCATCTGACTGTGAGAAAGAACTCGACTTCACAATGAAAGTCGAACTGCTCGCTGAGACATTGAAAGCGGTGTAAAAATGGTGCAAAAATTTGATCATTAAAGAACATTTGGTTGCAGGCCTCTAATTATTAATTGGCAATATTATTCAGAATATCGGAAGGGGAGAGAGATTGTTTAATTGAATTGCTCCATTTGATCAAACATTAAGCAAATAAAAAGTTGACAAGTGAACACAAGTTTCAATTAGCTGAATGGTTCAATTCAATGAACGTTTACAGTGATATTGAATGCGAGGGCAGATGAACGTCTTTCAATCTAATCAATTCAACTGAATGAATGAAAAGCACAAAAAAGTGACACTGCAATACAAAACGTAATAAAGGAATGATCCATTCAGGAAGCGCACTCCGGATATGTAATGATTTCAATGTTGGTTTCTTTGTCATATGGAGTTCGCAGAGAATAAAAAAATGGACGATTGCACTCGTACAACTGCTGATAGCACATATGATATTCTAGTTGTGATATTCAGTGAACGCGATGTTCAACTACATTTTTCAGTAGTGCAAATGAGTACTTACATCGATTAAATTTCAATACAACTAAAATTCACAGAACTTACCATGGCCATGTAACCTGTGATAGACTATTGTATACACCAACAATTCGGACATCGCTAGCGCTACCTCGTCGAATTACCTTTCTGAAATTGAGCAGATTAAATTGGAAAAATTTATGCAATCTTAGCGAATCAAGCTGTCGATAGGTTACAAATCCAGCACTTGCAATGAACTTCAGCGGTCGTGGGTGAACTCATTTCAATATATCACCATTGTTTTAGTGCAAACATTTTGGAGCATTCGTTCAAAATATAGGAACAGTTCAAACTGCGTTCGATGCACTTCAGAGCACATGTTCTTCCAAGCACTGATCAGTCATAAAACTCCAAAAAAATCTCAGTGCATCTGATTGAATTTCAAAAAACAGAGGCAGTTATATTATCACATTTGCTCGTTGAAATGAACTTTACAGAAAAAGAAACGCACTTTTTATTCCACACAATGCAAGTTACAATTGCACTGACGACACCAATTACAGCGAGCACACCGATGCCAACGATCAGCCATATTAACCACGGCAATTCTTCTGAACAATCCTAACATTATATGACATTATATGACAAATAAAATCACTTCTGGAAACTGCAGCTACAAATAAGTGAAAACGTTGCTTCAGTCTCTAAACACAGCTCAAATATTATCTATCGTTCCTATATTAAATTGCGGTCCATTTCTGTTGCACTTTAAGATACGCATCTCAGCTGTTTCACAGTTGTTTAACACAATAATTCCGTGTTAATGGCAGCTTCGTCATCAAGGAACCGATTGTTGATTAGTAACAAATCGTTTTGAGAGGTAAACTTTAAAAAGATAACAACTAGCATACAAAGATGTAGTGGAACCATTGTTAACGTGGAAAAATATGCTTGAAATGGACTGTAACTGAGCACTGCCATTGAACAATATGAACGAATAAACGGGATTACTTATCGAGAATCTCTGATAAGAGGTCTCTTATCGTGGACAATGAAAGTATATTTTTTATAACGTTCACCAATTATCAGTGAAAACATTCAGGGATTGCGTGATATATTCAAGAACTAACGATAAGAGAATTATATTGATGGAGAGAAATTTTTGAATGATGAAGATATTTGAGTGAATATGTGTGTGAAGAGAGGTATTCATACATACCAAAAATATTCCATATATCTAAAGCGTTGACGACATCCGCTTCAGAAGTGGCATTGTTGGGAACGACTACGAATGAAGAAGCATTCGTGAAGATTGCCATAACCAGATCGACATCGCTCGAGAGTGTCGCATCGATCTCATCCATTGACCGCGATGTCGATGCCGTTTCATTATCATCCATCAAGTAACTGATTTCAAATAATGACGACGTTTCATTCGTCATCTTCAACTGAAACTATGAAATTTTCAATGTATTTTGAACACAAATTCCAGTTCAACGTGACAAATAAAGCAGTCGAATTCTTGACGACACAATGAACGATACAATAGAAACGTTCGTTACTGCAAGGAAAATGGCGTGATTCACGCAAAATATCAGAAAACTACAAACAATTGAAGGAGACACGTTTACGAACGGAAATTTTCATGCTCCGCTTTTTTTTGAATTTAAACAGCAGCGGTACGAACAATACCTATTTTCATGGTTCGTCATGCATTTCTAGGATATGAGAATATTTCTACCGTAACGATTTTGCAAAATGGTTCTCGAAGCACGATTTGAAAACCACACGACATGTAAGCACGTACAATAGATGACTCGCATTCATGAACGAATAAGAATAGTCGATCAATTGGACGTTTTGATGAAAGTCTTCGAGAATGCTTCTGAGAATTTTGCTACCTTTCTTAATCTGATTACCAGTCAGCTAATCAAACACCAATGCTAGGAAGCGTTTGTCGCGAAACAGATTAACAGTAGACAAAAGTTGTTAATACTATTACAAGTTCAAGCAAATATTTAAACAATATCTGAAAAGAAGCTTATTGTTAGCAAAACGAAAAGTTATTTGTACAATGGATACGTTTGAATGAGTTATTTTGTTTGCGAAAACATTGTGTGCAAGGATATTGGTGTATCATACGTAAATGGAGTCTCAAGTTTAATTTCCTTAAACAAATATAATATTTACGATGCGACGACGATAGCGAATACTTCATTCCAGTGAAGAATCCTATAGAAATAGCTAGTCGTTTGTGTTTTGTTTTGCTCGTTCAAAACATTTGTGAACGAATTTTTACACAGTTTAGATCAACTCTGATAAAATATTGTAAGCGTTGTAATGTTAATAATGAACGCCATTTGTAAACAGATGAATTGCTTGCAGAAGCTAACAACCGAATGTGAGATCTGTGAGGAAGATGGATAGAGCTGACGAATAACTGTTAATGTAGCTTTAACGCTCACAAATACATTCAAGTCATTTTGATGAACTCAATATCAATATTTCATTGTTTGAAGATGTTTTTTTT